CTTAATAGCAAAATTTCAGAAACATTTTTGCAAGTATAAAACAAGGCTGGATTTTGTGAAGGTTTCTGGTGGGAAAAAAAAAAAAAAAAAAAAATATTGAAGGTATGTTGATTTGAGGTTGCTTCCAAAAAATTCAATTTATTTAGGAGTCAATTCAGTTGATTTCTTCCTGATTTTCATTAATTTTCCCACATATGTAGCCATAATCAAAATTTGATATTTATTCTCTGTGAGAGTTAAAAAAAAAATTCTTAAATTAATCAAGTTTCAATAAAAGGGCAGGTGGTCACTGAGCAGTTCCTTAAAAAGAGTTCGGATTGGTTTGTCCTTTTTTTTTTTCACCCTTCCCTCATCCTCCCCACCACTTTCCAACTTTACATTGGTTGAAAAAAAAAAAAAAAAAAAAAAAAAATCTTACACTATTGTTAACTGTTATTTTCCATCTTACAAATCAGAACGTAAATGCTGATTGACTCTTGGCTTGTCAATGGCTTCTCTTATATGTTTGTAGATCTCGGTTAAGGACGTCTGTGGACCCCAAGCATTTAGAACAACACCATTTTCATTCACTAAGTACTTCCAGAAATTCCAATTCGGCTCTTTGCCAGATGTTTCTATAATAAAATAAATAAATTGTAGAGAAATCGTGTAAGGTTTAGAGATTACCAATAGACAATTATATATTTACAAGAGAGAAAGATTTTTGCATACTATCAAAACAACACAAATTTATTAATAGTGAAATACACAGAAAAGAACAAAAAAAATGTTGACATTTAATATTAACCAAAAATAAAATTTGTGTGATGCCTGGTGATAAGGCAGAAGGTGATACATTGTTGGTGCTAACTCATTTAAGGTAGTAACTGTGATTACTAATTATTCCAGGTGCTGTTTGCAATAAAACAATTAGATGTAACAATGCAGTGGTGAAGGAATGCATTTAAACAAATGAATTTAAAATGAAACTGAAGATAAAGATTTATTTATCAACAAATAATATATTCAGATGATATATACATCATGTGGTGAATATAAGACCTTTGAAAAGAAGGGCGAGCTCACATATACGCACTTGAGATGTTTTTAAATACACATTTCAAAATGTGTGTTCATATACACACATTTAAGTGTGTTTAATAAAATCCATGAGAAATGGAAAAGTATCCAGACACACATTGAGGTGTGTTTAATGATAAAACCCTTTGAAAGTGGAAAAGCTTGTACCTTGGTTTCATTGTAGAATTTACATTAGAAAAGCAGGAAATGTTTCAGTTGATTAGTAATCCATTTGAGTTGACAATGCAGAACCCATGCTCCAACTGGATTTTGCTTGCTTTATGTTCTGTATTTATAGATTCCATTAAGCAGGTGCTCACCCTCAAAAATGTGAGGGAAAATGCTGTAAGTGGTTGATTAATAATTTACATTACATTTTGAATATTTTCAAAAGTGCCACTTGGAGACAATGTGCAAATGACCAATTTTGGCACTTGTCTACGGAGATGGAAACATCCGGTCAAACCAACAAAACTGTTACCCAAAGAGAAATAAACATTTTTTTTTGAATACGTTAATATGTTTGTGAAGGTTACCAAGTCTTTTATGCAAATTGTTATGGCAGTGAAGAAAACAAATGTGTCTCCTTCAAAAGAAAACTGATAATATTTGCTGGTAATTGTTGTGTTGTAGATAGGAAAGGTTGACACACATATAGAAAACAAGTAGTTTATTCTGGAGAATAATAAAGTACATGGTTGAGAACACAGAGTAATGTGAAACAGTTAATCATTAACTCCTCTCCCTCAGTAAAAGAGAGTGCTGTTTAAATAGTCTTAGACTAGTTCATCTTGTGGGGGTGTTCAGCTATTCCACAACAGTATTGTTCTGTTGGATTTTTGTATTCCTTAAATGAGTTTGGTTAAAATACTGTTTAGTTAAAAATAATTTTTCCATTCCTTTTTATATTACATCAAGAGTAGAACAGCAAACTGTCTGAATTAACCCATTCTGAAATAAAATTTCTTACCATATAGATTTTATATAGAAACGGCATACAGACTGTCAATTCAGACTTGAGTCTTATGACTGCTAGCTTGTCACATTCCCAACAGTAGCAGGTCAAGCAGGGCATGTACAAGAGAAATGTGAAGAGATGTTAAGTTTATAAAAATTCTAAATTCTCTATTTTTTTATCTGATCCTCTCAGAAAATGAACAATAGATTTATTATGTCATGGCTGAGTGGTTAGAATGTTCACATTCTGACCATGAGACACAGGCTTGAATTTCGCCATGGTCAATTTGTAAGGAAGGAAACTTCCAGATGTTATCAGGCTGGAGGTCGTGGGGGTGATCCCTGCATGCTGCCTGATGTGAAAGGTGACAGTGCCACCTGATGCGAAAGGTTCTACTGGAAAGAAAATATTTTTAGAAGGAACCAGAAACCCAATCCCAAACCTGAAACAAGGGATAATCCTCTACTCTTTTTCAAAAGGCCAGGTAAGAGCAGGTTACTGGATGTTAGGCAAACTTATCTACTGCTATTGAGGGGAAAAAAAAATAAAAATAAAAAAACATCATAAAATTTCAAAGTTTAGATGGAGACGTTAAAAGTATAGGGTTGAAATAGGCTTTAGAAAGAAACCAGAAACCCAATCCTAAACAGGAAACAAGGGATAACTATCTACTCCTATATTGATTATGACTCTTATAGACATATTAATCAGTTTATCTTGAATTGGAAATGCAAATTCTGTGGTGATGTGTTTAGATTTATTGATGCAATTGACATTTTTTGCAATTTATGAATATTTTACTTTGAAAACAAAAAAAAAAAAAAAATAAAAGATCAATCATCCATACTCAAAATTTACTTGTATTATTAATAGAATTATTCAAATGTTCATATTGTCACTTTGCTTTTATTTTTTTTATTATAGTATTTTAATTAGATACAGAGGAGAAAGAAAATCTAGTCTTAAAAAGTTTACAAAAATAGTATCATTTGCTAGAACTTCCAGGAAGTTGTCTGTGATGCTCTGAAGTTTAAGGTTCCAAGATTTTCAAGACAATATCTTTGCAAACAATTATAATTCAAACTAGCTGTTTACAAACCCTGTCAGGTTTACGATTTATTAAACATATACATGAAAAGTTTCATTCACTTTAATCATCACATATATGATGTGTAAAACAAATCCTAGAATCATGCATAGAAATCTACTGACAATTATGCTATGCATCAATTTTTTTTTTTTATATCAAACTTTTTTGCTGCATCAGAGTTATCTCCTTTGTACTGGTGATGCCAGGTGGCAGTGTATTTGTTAGGATAATGACAGCTGTTCTAAGATATTTGGGAAGAGAAAAAGACTGACATGAGTAGAGTACAACTAAAAAATACATTTTTAAAATACCAAAATTTCTGACAGCTAATCAGTTAAATAAATCAAAACTTTCACTCACTTGAATCATTATAAAGACTGCGTTTGAAACCTCATTACTATTTCAATACCAAGAACATTTTTCTTTAATTTTGTAATTTATGGTACACATTGTGTAGTTTTGTTTTTGTTACATTTTAGTAGTACCACTTATGCAAGTTAATAAACCTGTTCAGGGAAGGGGTACTTGTAGGGAGACAACAGTTGTTTTCCCTTGGGTGGAATGTATGGGAGTTCAGCCCCTTTAGAGAGAAGAATTCTTCCCTTTTTTGCCTCCATTTGGGGAATGCTTAATACCTTCTTAATCACCAGGGTGTCCACACACATGGGAAATGGACATGTACACAGCCTAGAGAAAAAAAGTAATTTTGATTCACCTTGCTATGGCATTTGCCAGTTTTTCTGTTAAACATTCTTTTCCTTTGAACTGTGTAAATAATCATTTGTTTAGAGACATGTGTAAATCTTTTTAGCAAGTTGTATTTGCCTTATTAAATGTTTTGTTTATTACAGGTGTGTATCTTGTCTATCTATATTTGCATTCAGTATTAGTATAAGAATAGTTACACTAATGCTAATATTAGTACTTGGTGTACAGGAAAGCATTATTCTTCCCAGCACTAAATAGCTGGCAAATTATGGTTAGCTTATAAAAGATACTAATACCTGTAAAGTAATGTTCATTAGTATTTTAATAGCAAACTGAGCTTTAGTCATTTTCTGGTCAATCAATTAAGATATTTTTTTCAATGTTTTATGTGATGTGTCCCTTCAAGTCATTGATGATCATGCCTTTTTACAATTTCTGTCCTTCGTAGGGCTTAATAAATTTTATCTTTTTCGATCTCTCATAAATTCTGTTCTGGCATCGAGTTACTCAAGTTTGCTATGTATGTTATGCATTGTTTTTGTCTATCCATCTTGCATTCAATCTATCCTGTGAATATCAAATTTTCCAAACCCTCTTTCCTCATTTTGTTCCCCGAAAATTTCAACTCTCTTTCTGGTGCAAAGTGTCCTTTTTTGTTTCCATTTTCTCTAAAACTTTGTTGCTCATGTGTTTGGTCCACGGTATTCTCAGCATCCTTCTGCAGAACCACAATTCTGTTGCTATCCAATGCATATCAGTTCTGCACTTCCCAGGCTCTGTTAAAACCCTTCCCAGATATTTAAATTGTTGTACCAATTTGATTTTGGCATCTCCAATTTGTAATTTGCATGCTGGATTGTTGCTTTTGCTGACAATCAGGCATTATATCTTTTTACAGTTGATGTTTCGTCTTTTCTTCTTGTTTTGTTTTACTAGCTTCTGTAGGAATGCCTGTAGTTTATTTTCCATGTCTCCTATCAACACAGGACCATCTGTGCATTTTATATTTTTAAGATATAAATAAAATTACTTACCAATTAAAATTTCCAGCATTCTGGAACATTGGGACCCAAAACATCAATCTTAGCAAACATAGGAAAGTTCACTTTGTATATTCTGTCAGCAAAACTTTGAATCTGCCAATTTTCCTGCAAATAAAATTTCACGGGATTAAAACCTGAAAATTCATAAAAACAGAAAAGAAAAAAGAAAAAGAGAAGAAAGAAGAGAGAAAAGGAAGAGAAAAAAAGAAGAAAAAAAAAAAAAAAGAAAAAAGAGAGAGAAGAAAGAGAATAGAGAGAGAAGAAAGAGAAGAGAAAACAGAGGGAAAAGAAAAAAAGGAAAAGAAAAAGAACCCATTGGTAATTGGACAGAGAAAAGAACATGGGTGTGCGATCTTTCCCATCCCACTACAGACCCATCAATCTCCTCAGTATTATCAGCAAGCTCCTTGAGGCCATAATCTATAACAAGATTGTTGAACAACTAGAAAGAGAAAAAACTCTTCAGCAACAAGCAGTATGGGTTTCAGTCAGCCTGATCAACTGCCAACATCCTATTATCTCTCACAGAATCAGTGAGGTTCTTGATGACAAACACACCTTGTGAACCATAGCACTAGATATCTTTTCTCACAGAATCAGTGAGGTTCTTGACAAACACACCTAGATACCTCAAAGACCTTCAACAAGGTGTTAACCATAGGTTGACTACACAAGTTCTTCAGTTATGTAATCACTAGAAAGGTCTTCTCTATCATAAAATCCTTCCTAACTGGTAGGTCCCTGAAGTTATGATCAGTCCTCCGGAGCCCTAGAGGTCAATACAGGCATCCCTCATGATCTACATAAATGATCTGCCAAGAATATACTCAGATCATTTGTAAACATCTCTGAGGATGATACGACTATATATGGGTGCACCTCTAAAACTTCTCGATTGACGACTGATCTCTCTTCCAGTCTTGCACTAAGTACCCAATGGGGTAAAAACTGTCTGGTTATATTCAATGCTTTGAAGACCAAGCTAGATACATTCCATCATTGCCAATCTGAATGTTTCAACTGATCACTACAATTATAACCTGTTCAAGGCTAGGGTTAAGTGTTATCTTCCACTCCTATACACAGAAATGGCCTCTAAACATAACTCTCTACCTTGAGTGGCCCATAAGCATTGTAAAGGGTGAACCTTGCTGTAAGAGAAATGAAAGAGAGAGAGAGAAACGAAAGAGAGAAAAACGAAAGAGAGAGAGAGAGAGAAAAACGAAAGAGAGATGGAAACGAAGAGAGAGAGAGAGAAACGAAAGAGAGATGGAAACGAAAGAGAGAGAGAGAAACGAAAGAGAGATGGAAACGAAAGAGAGAGAGAGAAACGAAAGAGAGATGGAAACGAAAGAGAGAGAGAAACGAAAGAAGATGGAAACGAAAGAGAGATGGAAACGAAAGAGAGATGGAAACGAGAGAGAGAGATGGAAACGAGAGAGATGGAAACGAGAGAGAGATGGAAACGAGAGAGAGATGGAAACGAGAGAGAGATGGAAACGAGAGAGAGATAGAGAGAGAGATGGAAACGAGAGAGAGAGAGAGGGAAAGGGAAATGAGAGAGAGAGAGAGAGGAAACGAAAGAGAGAGAGAGCATACCTAATGAAAAAAAATGCACCAAACTTAAAACAGTTTTATCATCAAAATGTTATAATTAAGCAGAAAGACCAAAGAATTTTTTTTATTATCAAATTATATTTTTTATCCTTCTGAGAACCTTCAAAATTTTCTTTAATTTTTTATATTTTTGCATCAACAAGTGATCATAAATAAAAAGGAAATTTTTGCATATTTTTGCAGTGAAAAACACATCGATTACAAAATTCTTGCAAAAATGAAATAATTGTAAGATTTTAATGAAACTTTCAGGATTTATTCAGAAATTAATGAAATTATTTCAGAAAAGTTTCTTTTTTTTTTTTTTTAAAGAAAATCTTGGTAAAAATTATTTTATATCTGTTATAAAATTTTTAGAAATTAATTTGTGTGGCTTAATGCTTATATTAATTCTAACCAGAAATCCTTGGAGAATTTAGATCATCAATTTCTTTTTTGTAAAACATGACTCCCAGTTACAGAAAATCTGCTCTGAATTGTAAAATTACAGGAATTATATTCATTTTTTTTTTTATTTTAATTAGAATAGTTTATGAAGTTTTAAGTCTTTTAAAATTCTGTATTAATTTGTAGTAGTTAGAAAATTTTCCTAAATTTTTGAAATTATTGGGTAGCTAAAAAATTATATATATAAAAAAAAAAAAAAAAGGTGCTCATGCTATATTTAGTCAATTTTTATATGACTCCATAGAAAAAAAATTAGTTAAATTTCTGGCTGTCAACACATGAAAACACCCATCTGTTTAAAAAAATAAATTTCTGCAAGATTTTAAACTAAAAGTAATATTTGTTTCAAATCAGATTAAATAAATTTTAAATCCACTAGTCTTTCACAAATAAAGTTTCTGAAAAGTTTATATTATTTTTAATTTTTTTTTTTTTTTTAATAAAAGAGAATTACATTGTGCTGAGAGATTTGTAAATATGGCTAAAATCAGCCATCTTTAACAATTTCAAAAAACAAACTCATTCCAATCAATTTAAAAACATTTTGCATATTGGAAATATTAAATTTAATATATTAGCTAGGAATCCAAACTAAAATAAAAGATTCAAGAAAGATTTTTCATTTTAAACCTTAGTTATTGCTTTTCTTTCAAGGTACCTATATAATATATATCAGGTATAACAGTAAAATTGTCCAATTGTTAGATTAAGTTTTGAACCATTGTATCTTAGAAATTATACAAGGTACCTTACTGGAATTCTCCGAGGTTTTTATAACACTATTGGACTCTACTTTGAGCAATAAGAATGTATAATTACTCTCCAAGCTTAATAGAAGAATCGTGATGAAATCAATCATAAAATGAAAATTACATGTTCATCATTAATTAATCATAGTTAAGGATCAGAAGCTCATATATATTTTATTCCAGGATCATTTTCCAACTTAGCTTTAAGTTGAAATGATGATCCCTTTTCCTGTTTTGACCTCCTGCTCCAGTTTTCCTCTCTACTATTCCATCTTTTTTAAACTTATTCACTGTTCTCTTGATGTTCCTTGAATGGACTTTGAAAATAGAAGCCATATTATGAATGTTGGTACAATTACTGAAGGTCTGACTGATTTTTTTCCTTTTCCATTACTCAGTTGAGAAGACAGTGGGGCTGATACAAAACCTGTTCTCTTTCTAGTTGAATAACTTAAAGAGTTTTTCAGTGATTCTTACAACAAATAGTGTCAAGATGACTAAATGTCTTATCTGAAAACCTGGAAAAATGAAATTCAATTAGTTTAGTGGTTTTTTTAGATATTAAACATTTTCTGAGATGGACAATTATGGTGTTACATGATTTGGACAATTTTGCTGTCACACCTGGCATATATGATATTTCCTATAAACAAAAAGTCTGAAGATCAAGGTAAAAATTGTATAAAATGAATAATATATATATATATATATATATATATATATATATACACACACAAAATCATAAAATTGAATTTAATGGATAATTCTAGTAAATAAAAAGAAAAATAATTGTAGATTGTATTTATATTTAACAACAAGAAAAAAAATTAAAAATATTGTTTTACCCCAGGCTCTTGTTGTCCGAACTGATTGCAGGGAAATGCTAAGATAGTGAACTTCGCTTTACGAAGTGTCTGCTGAAGCTGAACTAATGCCCGGTAATGTCCATCTGTATAGCCACATTCACTGGCCACATTCACAACAAGAGAAACCTGTAGAGATAAGAATGTAATTACAATGATTTATTTGATTCACATCATCATCAAAACAATGTCTACAGGATGCAAGAGTTTGTGGTAATTTATTCATCATAAACATAGGACATAAAAAGGAACTGGGTATTAGGTATAAAATAAATAATATATTTGATTGAGAGTGATGATATTCAGTGTAGCAAAATGCTCCTTTATGAAGGTGGATATTGGTAGCAGTCTGGAGAAATGTCCATTTCAGTCCAGTAGTTTTGAAGTCAGACCTTGCTACTAGTAGTAGTAGTAGTAGGCTTAGAAATAACTCAGAAATCTGTGATTTTCTCAGTCTTAAGCAGAGGAGAAATATCATTAGCAGAAGACCTTTTAACTACTTCATGCATTGCTGGTTTTTCTAGCAGACGCATCTCTTGTCGCATGGTTTCACTTGCCATCACTCTCCTTGTCTAGGTCAGAGCTGTGATCCTATATCTTTTTGACCAGGCTCAGAGTCTTTGGTGCGAACCTTTGTTTTGGCTAACATCAAAAGTCTCTTTGTGTTAATTTTTTTTTGATTGACCCAAATTATTTTATTTTCTACTGTTCTTTTTTCATGTGTATATATATATATATATATATATATAAAAGAAGCTCTGTGTGGATCTTGTCTTATTTCAGTAGATTTATTGCCATAAATAAGTAGGAAATGATCCTGCAAACATCTGGCATTTTTCAGCGAGATTCAGTCTCCTTCCTCTTTTTATTTAAGGGTTGCCTTCTCGTTAGCTGTGAGAGAAGCGTGTATGTGTTTGTATATATATGTGTGTGAGAGAGAGAGAGAGAGAGAGAGAGAGGTTTGAAAGGAAAACACAAATACCTTATTTTATTTTGAATTCTTTTTATATTTTTATTCATGTATTCATTTTTATATTATTTTATTGGGATTCACAAGGATTTACCTTTGCAATTAATGTACTGTAGCTTAAAGTTATCTCCCTTGTATTCGAAATCTACCTCACTTTAATAACCTTCACAAAGATCTGCTTCTTCTATGTGCCATGTCCATTCAAGATGTTGGTGACCATGGCTCGCCACAATTTTTTGTCCTTTGTAGCTCTTAATAAATTTTGTTTTTGTTATCTCCTCTAAACCTTGTTTCACCATCAATTTACTCAAGCTCACTAGGTATGTTATGCATTGTTTTCCTCTGTCCTTCTTGCCTTCAATCTGTCCTGTGAGTATCAGATTTTCAAAACCATCTTTCCTCATTATATGCCCTAGAAATTTCAACTGCTTCTTTTGGGTGTTAATTATGTGTCCTTTTTGTTTCCATTTTCTCTAAAATGTTCTTCATGAGAATACCATGTGAGATGTTGTGAGTTTCCCGCATGTCGGTGTATGAATCAAGACAAACACAGTTGTAGAGGAAAATACTGGTATATTCATAAAAGCAATTAACAATAGAGTGATTAGTAGAACGAAGGTTGGTTGTCTAAAACATTATCCAAAGTCTATAGTCCAACGGTATGTAACGGGTAGCTTATCTGGACTGCTCACGCTGACTCTCTCTCTGACGCCGCGTCACTCTCTCTCTCAGAGCTGACTTATATAAGAGGGACCAGTCCATTACTAGTTAGGTGGGTGCGCCCCAACACCATGTTCAGTTCATGGTATTCTCGGCATCCTTCTGTAAAACCACATTTCTATTGCTTCAAGTTTTTTCTTCATCTGTATGGAGATTGCCATATAGGAGCACTGATATTACATAACAGTTTAGTACTCTTCTTTGTTTCTAACAAAATTTTTCTGTTTATTAATACCTTCCTTAGCTTTTGGAAGGCATCTTTCATTATCCCACTGTGCCTTAATATTGCATTTCCTTCCTCTGTTAAAACTCTTCCCAGATATTTAAATAGTCATACTTGTTTAATTTTGGTATCACCAATTTGTAATTTGCATATTGGGCTGTTCCTTTTGCTAACAACCGTGAATTATGTTTTGCATTTGTTGTTTAGTTTCTTCTAGCTGTAACAATACAATTTCTCACACATCCTTAGGATATAAGTAGATAAATTCTTTTTAAGTCCACTTAATTATGTGAGTTTCTTAGGAAATTCATCTCCAGACCATCTTTGAGTTAACTCAAGTGTCAGAATTTTCAGGATTTCTGTCTCCAGCTACCTTTGAATTGGCAAACATAAAATTTTGTCCATGATTTTAGATAATCATAAAAGTAGTCCTTTGAAAAAGCTGACCACCTAAAAAACAGGATGGGGGAATCTCTTGTTCCGGAACACGAAGGGGTAGATAGGGGAGGTCAGATACCAACCAGTATCCATAGAAGCAGAGAGAAGCAGGAAGTCAGTAAGTAGGTCAGTGACCAGTGAGGAAGGGACCAGCAAGCAGTTAGGAAGATAGCAGTCAACCGTTGAAGCCAAAGGGAATGATAGGCAGTTTAACGAGAAATTATATTTTTGCTATTTCCCAACCAGAGAGTGTTGAAAAGCATTTGTTGTTATTCTTTGTGAATTTGATCACGGCCAAGTGAACATAGCTAGCTGGGTGCATATGCATACAACCGACCTTGGATGTCATCAAGTTGTGCAGTGATGGATGAGCGGAAAACGTCATCATATCGCTTTCCTTTACCAACTTCTATAGGAGTTTTACTTGCTGAGTTTAATAGCTAAGTACTTCCTTCTGGCATCAGTAGTCACTCAGACAAAAGCTTGAATTAAAAAATAATTTAATGTTGATTTTCAAGGGTGGCTGTCCTTCCCAGTTTTTAAGGTTGGTGCAAAACAATCTTCATGCACTTTTAGAAATATCAGTGATAGACAGGAATAAACAATAGTAAATAAACAGATAGAATTTATTCTAAAATCAATGCATTGTAGTCCTCACAGAAAGGGAAGGCAAGAAAAAAAAAATTCCAGACATTTTTTTGTCCACATCTACAAGATTTGGTAGGCACAAGTTTAAAAAAAAAAAAAAAAAAAAAAAAAAAAAAAGACCTCAGAATATTTGGATTTATTTTTTTTTCTTTCTAAGTGTGGGGCTGAGGCTCTCACCAAGTCTATTAACTATCAATAATAAGCATGATAGCCTTAAGTGGTTAAAATTTCTTAGATGCGTGTGTGTGTGTGGGGGGGCAGGGGTGTTAGTATATTCCCACCTGAAAAAAAAAAAAACACTGGAAAGGCTTGGAGCAGTGCTAATAAATTAATCTAGTAGCAAAGATTTCAGATTCAATATTTTTTAATTTTTTTTTTATTTCATCCTCTTATTTAAAATAGGTTATCCAGCAGTAAACATTTATTGCTTTGATTTTAAATATGCAATTTATTTTTGCAATAAAGATACAAAAATATTTGGATATTTTTTTTTGTTATAGGTGTGGAGGCTGTGGGTTTCACCAAGTCTAAAGATAGTGCTTAATGTTCAAATTTTCTTCATCCAATTTTCTCTAAGACATCTCTCAACATTGCATGCTGTACCTTTGAAGTAGTCAAGGAAAAACTAACACTTAATTCTTCTACATTCTTTTTTCCTTAGATTTACAAACAAAAGTGTTATGATGAGAGAACAACAGTAAGAAAGGAGTAAGAAAAACAGTAAGAATCTATGAGGTTATGTCAAAATTTGTCAACACTTTCACCATAACATATCTTTAAACAAGTGTGCAGATAATTTTTGACTTTCCTTTGTAGTAACGAAAACAGTAAGAATCTATAGGGTGCCCCCCCACGAAAAAAGTTTTAGATTTACTATATAAAGAAAAAAAAAAAATGAACTTTTTAGTTTGAACCCCACATCTAACATTTGTTTTTTTTTTTTTCTTTTAATCTACTAAATTTCTATTCTTTGCTTTTGTTTCAAACAAAAATTCCAACAATTAAATAAACTGTACTAGATTTCCTATTTTTTGTGGGAGCAACCTGTAGCAATAAAATAAGAAACTAATAATAAAAACAGTAAGAAACTAATAATAGTTCAGTTATGTGCCATGTGTGATACACGCTTAGGTGATCATGTATATTTTGATACATGACTGATGAGGCAGATTTTTTTCCCCGCAGTAGGTTGCCATTTCTTTCTGTGGTAGATCAGTTGCCATCCAAGGCTATAAAACCTGGTCTGTCCTACTATTTACCCATAGCTTGGGGGGGGGGAAGTAGAGGATTCATACCTTTCCAAAAGGTATTAGCACGTAAATGAATGCAATGGTTTCAACTGGAATTTGAACTCGGCTCTCCAGTTTGTCAATCTAAGCTGCTCCCCATTACTCCATTGTAAATAGTAAGAAACTAATAATAAAAACGGTACCGATTAATGGATTATAGGTAGAAATGTTGAGGGAATTCTGAACTGAACGTTTTATTTTATCCAAAGAGGTAGACTGGGAGGAGCTGCAAGTCTTCAGCAACCCCAATCAAAACATGACAGGCAGTAGCAATTGCAACACTAATCAGCAGGCAGAAGGCTTATGGCCACATCACATTGAAACACTAGTTCCCATATGATCACCAAAGTTAAGCAATGTTGAACCTGGTAGTACTGAGATGGGTAACTGTTTGGGAATACTAGGTGCTGTAAGCTTGGATGTGTGGATTGTGTAACAGATAATGACTCAGAATTTTTTAATTGGAGAGCCGAGTTCCAATTCCAGTCGGGTTCGTTATATTCACTTACGCACAAATACTCTTGGGAAATGTATAAATCTACCTCTTCTCCCCCAGCTATGGGTTAATTAGTAAGACTTGTATAGCTAAACCATTATTATCTCCAGAAATGGAATAAAATTGTGTACGAAATATATTTAGATTTTGGCATTAAATAACCCATAGATGTGTTGATATGCTGCTAAACAAAAACAATCAAATTGGCAGGCAGGTCAGTTTTAAGGCTCCAAGTTGTCCTCTGGTACAATGGATTTGGTGACAGTGATTATGAGTTCAATTCCTGGGCTGGGCAGCATGTACTTGTACCTGGTGGAAATGGGTAAGCAATAACTGAGCAGTACTAAAAATAAGAACTAGACAATATCCTTAGACATTGGACCGAGAACAATCTACACTCTTGTAGATTAAATAAAGGGTTCAATTCAGAATTCCCTGTGGGTTACCCAGATCGATATACACCTGAGGAAGGTCAAAGGGCACATCAACCAAAACATTGTGATGACAACAAGAAAGTTTTGTCAGGTTGAGGAGGCAATCCCAGCTTGCGTCACATTTTGAAAGTACCTGAAAGCTACGCCATGGGTTGACTAATCAAGCAATAACCAAGCAGTACTAAAAATAGAGGAAGGAATCGTCATTCTACTGTGCTGGTCCAATGCATATTAGAAGGCACGGATGTGACGGGTCTCTTTTTCAATCCATGATTACCAAAAGATATTTACACATAAGTGAATGTAATAAACCCAACTGGAATTCGAACTCTGCTTTCCAATTTCTCATCTGGAGTAGTTATCCACTACACCACCCGCATGTCAGTGCTACAGCACTTGGTATATCGAAGCAGTGAGCAATCTAGTTACTGACCAGGCATGACATTATTAGTAAAAGAAATCAAATTTAGTTATAATTACACTCATTTGATTTAGTCCATGTCATATGGTATCTTTTCAACTACTAGTAATAAACTTAATAGCCTTAAGTGGTTAAAATTTCTTAGATATGTGTGTGTGTGTGTAGGGGGGGATGCTCCCCACAAATGGAGAGACTTTGAATAGTGCTAAATTAACCTAGCAGCAATAATTCTAGATCTAGATTCAATATTATTTCAAATATATTATCCGACTAAACATTTACTGCTTTATTTACATTAAACTAGTAGCAAAGATTTCAGATTCAATATTTTTTTATTTTTTTTATTTCATCCTCTTATTTAAGATAGATTATCCAATGGTTAACATTTATTGCTTTGATTTTAAATATGCAATTTATTTTTGCAATAAAGACACAAAAATCTGTTGTCCTCATCTTCATTGCCCTGTTCACAACATTTTGGCCATTGTATGCACTAGCCTTCTTCAGGTGATTGAAATTTTGAACTGAACCCTTTATTTCATCCACTGGGGGTAGATTGTTCTAATGGGCCATGTACCTTAAGGAAACATGGCCCACCAGAGGATAAAGGCATTGGTTAGATCTAGTGACTAGACCCAAAGAGTTTTGAGTTCAATACCAGGCTACAGCAGTGGTGAACCAAAACATCTGGAAGAGGCATGTGACGAGGAACTAGAACAATCTACCCTGGTGGACAAAATAAAGGCTTTGATTTAAAATCCCAATCACCTGAAGAAGGCCGGAACGTACAACAGCCGAAATGTTGTTAATATGGCAATGAAGATGAGGATAACAGTCTGAATAATGTAAGCAATCATAATACCTCATCTCAGAGATATAGACAGATATTTACTGTTTTAATTTTAAATGCAACTTCTGCAGGAGTTTTGCTTGCATCAGTAGTTGAACCCAGACAAAAGCTTGAATTTAAAAAAGATTTTTAAATGCTGATTTTCAGGGGAGGCATTCCTCCTCCATTTTCAACATTGGTGCAGCACAATCTTCATGCACTTTTAGAAAATATCAGTAATAGACAGGAATAAACAATAGTAAATAAATGGATAGAACCTATTTCAAAATCAATGCATTGTAGTCCTCACAGAAAAAAAAAAAAAAAGATTCCATACATTCCCAAGCCACCCCCCCTTCCCCCACGCCTCATGTCTAAGAGATTTGGTATCAGATTTAAAAAAAAAAAACTAACAAGCTTTGGTTTCACAATCCATAAAGACTAAAATATTTGGATTTTTTTTCTTTCTTTTTAAATGTGGGGCTGAGGCACTCACCAAGTCTAATAACTACCAATTATAAACATAATAGCCTGAAGTGGTTTTAATTTCTTATGTGTGTGTGTTTCGGGGGGGGGGAATATTATTCCCCAACCCCTCCGCCAAAACAGGAAAAGCCTTGAACAGTGCTAAATTAATCTCATAGCAAAGACTCCAGATATAGATTATATATATTTTTATTCCTTTTATTTCTTATTTAATTCTCTTATTTCAAGATAGATTATCTGACTGTAGACATTTATTGCTTTGATTTTAAATACACAATTTACTTTTGCTTGTACTTATATTCTGGAATAAAACCTATAGACATTTTTCCTGCATATTTATAGAAGTCTTATATGTAACTTCCAGAACTTTTCTAGAAGTTTTACAAGTGATTTTTTCAGGGTCAGGGTAGAAAAAAAAAATAACTCAGAAAATGAAAATTAATGGCAGTAATGATTTTAAATAAATGATGCAGCTCAGCAGAAGTGCCATAGCATTGTTTTCTGTGTTGTTTCTGGCTTCAGTTTTTCACTGATTGATCAATTCGTTTTTTATGGTTCATTTTCAGGTTATTTAAAGCCAGAAAATTTTGTTGGGAGGTAATAACGACTTAGTAATACAAGTCTTACTAACTCATAGCTAGGCGGGGAGAAGAATTAGATTTGTATCTTCCCCAAGGGCAGTGATGTGCAGAGGTTTGGTGATGCCCAGGGCCAACTTCTTGATTTTATGCCCCTAAGACTTAAGTTGGGCAGTGGGGCTACTCCAGTCTCACATATCAAACCACGGATCGACATTCACACTAAATTGTGGGACTGTAGGATGCTTATACACTGAAGTTAACAGACAATTTCAAAAACAAAATTTTTATTTTACTCTTTGATTGGATGCAGCCCTGATATGGATACCCAGGGCTGTTGCACTTTCTGTCCCCCTTCTGCAAGTTACTGCCCAAGGGTTTTTATACATAAGGGAATATAACAAACCCAACTAAAATCGGAACTCAATTCTCTGATTAACAATTCTAAGCCTTTATCAATTAGGTACTGACCAGGCTCATCGTTGCTTAACTTTGGTGATTGTACAAAAACTGGTGTTTCAACACTATATGGCTGTAAGTCTTTTAGTTCTTCAGGCCCCAGTGATACATTGTAGACTAAATCTCTTTATTATCTGGAGGACAGTAGTATTAGGAAAATTGTGAGAAGGAAGTGGTCAAAGGAATGCATGCCAACTCCTTGGCGTAACATTTCACTATGTGTTGGTTAGTCTCCCTAAGGAATATGGATGTGAGATGCACATTGAGTCTTCAAAATACCGTCTCCTTGTCTTCACATTATATATCCACAACTTAAGGTAACCCATCACAGTTTTATATCCACAGGGGTCTTCTGACCAATACTTTGCTATTCTGACCCAACTTTTGCATTCTATAACAATAATCTGAGGCCAAGAAGACAAATTTAGTCTTCTGTTTAGTTTTAAGATTCAGCAAAAAGCAGAAAGTGGCAGTGGCTTAATCCATACAGCCTCCAACCCCTGCAACCTATAGTGCTGTGGATAGTAAAGAGTTGCCAGTGTATATATATATATATATATATATATATATATATAAATCAAAGTGTTTGCTCAGAACAATATTAACAGCATAACAGCAATGTGAGTACTTTATGTAAACAATAAATGTTACATTAGAAAAGAAGTCATGGTAATGGTTTGTCGGTGTCAACTAATTGGCCAGATGTCTCATTCAGTTCTAATGTAAATTTATGATCGTTTTAAGAGCAGATTTTTGTGTTGTTGATATTTCCATGCAAAGAAAAATAATCCCCTCAAGCTAAGATGTCCATATTTATGTCTGTTGTTATGTCTGCAAAGGTCTTGTAGTCCCTGCCCTTCTGAAACTATGATACGAGGCCCCAACTCTACTACATCTCAATTTTCATAAGCTAGTATTCATATAAAATATAAATTTTATTGTAAGCTAATTATGTACAATAATGGATCATATGCAATATAGGTGAACAATTCAACTAGAAAAATTGAAAATAAATACAATGTATCTAAATACTAATTAGAGACATGTCATAATAGATATTTCCATCTTAAATAGATCACTGTTTTGCGTCAATTTTTAACATTAACTTGAGATTTTTGTTGTTAAAAGTTGAATAATTTTAACACATTCACAGTATGGTTAACCAGTGAATTTTATATAATGTTTTTTGAAATTTAGCATGAACAAAACAAATTCAGACTTGGACCCCAGAATGACATCAAAATCCATGAAAATTTTCTTATTTTAATTTGTAACGTATATAAATGTAGGTAGAAAAAAAAGCAAATCTCAATTTTCATAAGGTTATATTCATATATATCATTCCATCTTAAATAAATCAAAAATGTTTTGTGGCAATTGGTAATTAAGTGATACCTTTTTTTTTTGTATTACATTTGTTAACCAAACAAAAATAAAAAGACCCTTTTTTAACATTTTAATTATTTTAGTTATAATATACCTGCATTTTTTCCTTTTGATATTGTAAACTAAAAGGACTTGATGAAATATGTCCTGTCAATTTTGTGTGTATTACACATAGGTAAGTATGGTATTTTGAATTTGACTGTAATAATCTTTTTTATTGATGGCATATTCACTTATGATAGAATTCCAGATTAAGTATAAATGCAAATTACACTATATACAGGGCCAGTGCAAAAGTCTTGTGCCCTTCCCCAAATCTGAAACT